GGACTCTGCACTTGCAAGACTTGCAGACTTTTCAAGGCAAACTGAAGCTTAGTGCAGGACTAGGCATCTCACTTTTATGGACATCTACTGATTTTTTACTGCTGTTTTCTCAGCAGGAAGTTTGGTTTGGGTTCCAGCTCTGCTCAGGCAGCCAAATATTGCCTGCAGTCTCCATTTCGGCAAGCTGGTGCTACTTACATGCTACTGCCACCCAGGTGGTGGAGAAGATGCTAAAAGTATGTCATTCTCATTGTTAAATCAAGGGTTAGTACTGGACAAGGTGTCTGTTAACTCCCAGCTGGACATGGCTGGAAGCAATGGAGGATGGAGGCTGGATCATTCAAAGGCAGTTACCAAGCAAAGGCTCCTACCCATGGGCAGGTCTGCTTCTTGTGAGCTGGGAAGAGCAGGAGGTTATTTGAACCTGTGGAGCGTCCTTATTCTATGTTTTGCTAGCCAAGGAGTTTGCATGGCTGTCCTAATCTCTGACATCTGTTATTTCTAGATGCATTATAAAGGAGAATTAGAACAGATAAGGGTTGGGTTATCTCTGAAAGAAAGCTCTGATGCTGAAGTATTTCTATAAAACGTGCAGCTTTCATAATTAGCTGCAAGACCTTTGTATGTAATAAGCCAAAAAAGTGTTAATTATTTTATTTCTGCCAACTTAAAAAACAAAGAACCTTTCTGGCTAGGTGCTGCCATTGCCAAATATGCATTTTAGTTAAACTTTGCTGTGTTTACGTTTCTAGATAATAACATTCTTTGGTTTATGGTCTGCCAGAAGATAGAAAGTTGAGATTAAAATCTCTGATTTGATTGGGTTTGTTGTAAAGTAAAGGTAATCATGAAACAATGACTACTTAATCAATTCTTAGTTATTTGTGTATTGTAGAGAGGTTCAAGCTTTTGTCAGCCTTACTGTCTTCTCTTTTCTTTGTAATGTATCAGAGAATGTGGTTGCTATTACATCTTATCATTAGTTTGAAGGAGGATGAAGACAAGTAGTTCTATTTTTAAGGAGCCTATTCAGCAATGACAGTGACACAGAAGACAACAGTATGCTTTGATTTCTACCTTCTAGAGATTTCTTTTGTAGAAATCATACATAAAATAATATTCCCAGGATAAAAATTCAGTGTGCAGGGACTCTGTTTGTAATGAACACCTCTTCTGTGTGCCTACCCAGCTGTCCAGAATCCTCTTTGTCAATTCACTGATGTGTTAGTCATTGAAGAGTCTTTTATTTTAACCTTTCCACCTTGTTTTTCATAAATGGCTGCAACAGGTTTTGAAATAACCGTTTGTGATTTGTTCAGGGCATTTATGTTGCCTTCATTGCCCCAGTATCTCAGCATTTCCGCATCTGCACCCACTACTCCACAATGTACATGAGTTCCATTCACTTCACAGAAGATGATAAACTCGAGGCCAGGGTGACAAAAGCTATTGGAACGAGGGTTTTGAGGAAACAGTGTTGCAAAAGGACGGATCGAATCCTATCTTCCTCCTTTATCTGTCCTGCAGTTCCCTTTTTGCAGGCTATCCGGGTGGCAGTGGCTTGGGCTGCTAAGATCCAGGCTGTCTGCTCAAGCCACTCTTAGCAGGATGCCTACAAGTCCCATCTGCCAGCATGGCTTGTGTTTTTAGAGCTCTTGCATCCAGCCGCTTTGGTGAAGCCAAGCAGATGATGGCTGTGAGAACCGGTGGCAGCTGAGTCTTGCATGCGTGTGTGTACTCATCTGTGCGAAGGTCTGCTCCAAGGAGTAAAGTGTAGCCAGAGTTTCTGCTGTGTAGCATCACTTGAAGGGTGTTTCACACCCCTGACTGAAGCCATCTTGCATCTGCTGAAACGTGATAGGGACTTTTTATAGCTGTATCTTGAAGACCTTTGAAAAATCAGATTGTTAGAGCCTTTTTAGCAGAATAACAGATTGGTTGTGCATGTACATGGGATAGCTGCATATGGTAGGCATGTCAGAGAGTGAAAGGCCGTAAAGTATAACCACTCTGTAAAATAGTACTTCCTAACATTATTTTTTCTGACATTTCTGGGTGTAAACACTGAAACTTTTGTGGGGTATTTCACTTGTGAACCTCAAAACACTTATTGTGTATTTAAGTCTTAATTCAGTTACCAGTAAAGAGGAGGACAAAATTTCCTCTTCCTTTATTGCACTTGTCCAGCACTCAAGAGTGAATGTTGCCTGTTGAAAATAGAATAGATACTAATTTGGTCCCATAAACCCACATATTGTTTCAACTTGCCACGAATTTCTGAATGAACAGACGATCAGATCCCGTGATGCTGCTCTCAGACTCGCTGCTGATATGAAAGAGGCGCTTGTGCAGCCGGCTGTATGGCCATGCTGCTCTTTTGTTGCCCATAGTGCACATGCTCAGCTCCTTTTTACTCCCTTTTTTTTTAATGCTCTGCAACAGGGCTGCACAAAGTCGAATTGACTTTTAAAACAGGACTTCATTTTGCAGCTATACGTCTGTGCCCGGTTTTCTTTTGTGCTGCCTGCGGAACAAGGAGGCTGTGTGGTATCTGACACCGGGCTTTTACCAGTGATTTATTGAGTATGTCAGAACTGCTGTTGTGAATGCTGGGAAGCGCTTGCATATTGTGACAGTTAATATTGATTATGACAGTTTGTAGACTCTAGTGCGTTGTCAGACAGTGGATCGTATTTTGTCTTCTTACTATACATACCATAGGCTATAGATCATAGTGTTTTCTTAAGAAAAGGACTCATTGTCCAGCGTTCTCGGTGGTATGAGAGAACTTCTGTAGTGTGTTGTGCAACAAATAGCAAAATAGTTCAGGCACCCTATGGGACAGGCAGGCAAATGTCAATTGCTTTAGGAAAAAAAAAAAGGTGAATGGTTTGTTCTGGCCTTTCAGAAGAAGGAGCCATGCAGTTGTGTGCAGTTGACAGAAGTGGGTAAACTAGTCTGAGGGTGTCATTTATGAAAATATGGTGCATCCCATGTTGCCTGTTGGCCCGAAATCCACAGACCGTGCAGGAAGAGGTTGCAATGAGTATTTTGGCTGCTCATCATTTTTAAAGGTTGCTTTGGGTCTTGGTAGAGGCTGAAACTACGGGTTTCTATAATGAGTCTGAGGATGAGGAGATAAAGTTTCTGCAGACTTGGCAGAAAGTGCAAGCTGGCGCATGGGCTTCTGTGAGGGGCACATCAAATAGATCACCCCGAATAATGACCTCTTCTGACTGTTTGGTTTTAGCTAGGCAGTAGGAAAGTAGCATACAGGAGAAAATATTTTTCTATTTACCTAAAAGCTGCTTCAGTGGGAAAAAGTCAACAGCTGAGCTTTTACAGATAACCTGATCAGAAGGAGGGAGTCAAAAGCCATTTGGTTAATTACGTTGCCATAATTTACTATATTGCTGCTATACTATTGGCAGAAAAATCTTCAAACAATACATTTCTTTTTAAAACAAAACAGCTCTTGAGGTGTAGCAGTGACAGTGAGCCATTCTGATTTTTCTGTTCTTGAAAGACTTTTTATAAGAGACCATAAAGGGTCATAAACTTTCACTTTGAGATAGTAAACCTTAGGAAGACAACCTTCAGCAATCCATGCTATTAGAATTTTGACCTCACACTGTGTTTTAGATTGATTGAATTGCAGTTTCTGCTGCAGTTTTACATTGATGTGATTCAAAATCCATTTCTGCACATACCTTGTGGTTTAATTTAAATAAATGTAATAGCAGATCATTTGTGAAACAATTATTTCTGGGATACTTTGGGCCAAGACTGTGGCACTGAGCTGGGACCTAGGGGAACTGGATTCACTCCTTAACCCCACTGTGGGCCTGATACTGGCCACTCAAACCAGCTCATCTTTCTTATGGATGAATTCAGCCCCATTTCTAGTTGTTTATTTACACTATCAGATCTTTAAGAAGGAACATTTCCTATCAGAAACCAATCTTGATCTCTCCTGGGATTTCTAGATGCTGCTGTAATACTAACCATATTTTCTCTAGTGTGATCTGTATTTTCTTAATGAGTGCTTAATGTTAGCAGGGAGACAGAATTAAACTAAGTGGTTTGATTTCAGTGATGATGCAACTTCCCATTCCATGCTCACATTGAATTTGGAGTAATTATAGCACTCACTGTGTCATAATTATGTTTTGTAATGATAAGAATGCTCTAGAGTTTGTACATTCACAGCACTACTGTAAGCCTCAGGGGGTACTGAGATTTTACAGTGGCATCTCTGTCCAGTGTCAGGTATTACTGCTGCATTTATATATTTGGGGGTTTTATTGCAGAACATCCACAGCAATATCAGAAATGCTTTAAAGAAAGGCTGAAATGGAAGAGTTTTTAAATGTCTGCTTTTCACTACAGACTTATTTTATTTATTTTTTTTTCTAATTTTCATAAAGTATTTTGAAGAAGTTAGATGTGAGGAATGAAGAAGTTCGGGTGTTCAGATATGAAGAGTTGTTTCCTTAAGTGACTTTTATCTAAACCTTTGGTCACAATTCTCTCTGTGTGCATAGCTAGCTCCTTAAGCCTGAGGCCACACCTGGAGAAGGTAGTTTTGGTGCTGTGCTTTTCCAAGCAGCGGTTGTAGACTAGCAGTGACTTGCAGGAAGATCCATTCAGTCGCTATCGTGAGGGGCTGTGTACTTCCCCTTGGCCATCCTGTGGGTCTTAGGCTGTCCATTTGCTCACTAGCCCCTGCCAGTTGTTTGTTTGGGATGTTCTCCAGGTGTTCTGGACTCTTCAAGATGTCTCTGGTCCTTTGAGTTGCAACCCTTAAGAGACTTTGTTTTGTTTTCCTGAGTAAAGGCATTGGCATCCTGCAAGAAGGTGGATACGTTTCCCTCTCCTGTCCCAGTGCCCCAAAATGCTTCGCAGGTCTGTTTTATTTCCAGGAGGCTTCAGGAGTCTCCTTGTCTGTAGGCTGAAGCCTGCTCTCTGACATTGCTGTTATTGTTCTCTCTTCCCTTCAGATGGTGTCCACAGTGTTACAGCAGTCTGCACCCTGCGTGTCACCATCATCACGGATGACATGCTCACCAACAGCATCACGGTGCGGCTGGAGAACATGTCCCAGGAGAGGTTCCTTTCTCCCCTCCTGTCCCTGTTTGTGGAGGGAGTGGCAACAGTGCTGTCTACCGCCAAGGACGGCATCTTCGTTTTCAACATCCAAAATGACACAGATGTGAGCTCCAATATTCTGAATGTGACCTTCTCAGCTTTGCTCCCTGGTGGCATTCGAAACAAGTTCTTCCCCTCCGAGGACCTGCAGGAGCAGATCTACCTCAACAGGACCCTGCTGACCATGATTTCCACACAGAGGGTCCTGCCCTTCGATGACAATATCTGCTTACGCGAGCCCTGTGAGAACTACATGAAGTGTGTCTCTGTCCTGAAGTTTGACAGCTCGGCCCCATTCATCAGCTCCAACACTGTCCTGTTCCGCCCCATCCACCCCATCAACGGGCTGCGGTGCCGATGTCCCCCAGGCTTCACGGGCGACTACTGCGAGACGGAGATTGACCTCTGCTACTCCAACCCCTGCGGGAGCAACGGGCTGTGCCGGAGCCGAGAAGGAGGCTACACTTGTGAATGCTACGAGGACTACACTGGTATGTGTTTATCTTATCTTTGACCTGTGATTTATATGTTAGACCATAAGCCAGGCTAGCTCTGTGTCAAGCCAAAAATTGCTGACATTCTTAGTCAAAGGGAGAAAAACTCCTGGCACTGCCTTCTGGTCAGGAGAAGGCTTGTGAATGTCACACATCACTTACATGTAAGTCCCATGTCACTTGGGATAAGTCCTGTATCTTACGGCACAACACGATGGTAGCAACTGTGTGCTGCTCCAGACTGCACAGGGCCAACAGCTGCTGAAGCAACTCACATTGTGTTAATTTTGTCTCAAAACACCTCATGCAAGCGTATTTCTTTTATCTGAAAGGAAAAAGGTGGGACACATCCCCTGGTTCATGGTTTTGCATCTTAACGCCTTCCTGGCCCCTTAGCAGTCCCCTCATGCCGGGGTGTAGTGGGGGTGCACAACCTTGGTAGGAGGTTGTCAACACTTGGTTATCAACAAGCACAGAGCATGAGGATGGTTCATGGTCCCAAGAAACTGCAAAAATACACATTTATGGGAAGTAATGAAAGTCAGCTCCAGTTTGTATAGGTCCAGATAAACTCCAGAAGGACATAGTTGCTTCCAGGCCTGGTTCCAGCAGCCTGCTGAGGAACGTACTTTGCCTCATCATGGACTTGACAGCCAATAAAGATCAAAGTGCTGCTTCTCAATTACTCCTGAGAAGTTATGGAAGAATATTAGCTGAATGTTTTCTGGTGCTTCAGTAAAGTCAGTGGGATTATTTATGCATTTGAAATTGCACACGCAGTTAAGCATTCTGCACTGACGTGCTGCCGACTGTAATTTGTGCTGACAGCTCAGCAATGTCTTCTGTGACCCCCACGAACAAGGGGTGAAGCAGAGGGGGCTGTTCCCAATGCTGCCTCTTACTGCTGAAGTTATAAAAAATTGAAAACATGAATTATTTAAGTCTCCATGTAAAAAAAAAATCTTGATGCATATGCCTACTGGATCCAGCCCTCTAGGTGGAAGGGTTTTCCTTCACTTTCTGTGGCTTTTGGCTCAGTGCTGTAATTAACAATGCGATGGTGGAAGGACCCAGGAGTCAGTGGGCAGGGATGTGGCAGCAGCAAATGAGCTGGGCTTTCCCCAGCAAGGGGGACAGGAGATGCTCCCCAAGATCAGAACAGGGCTTAGGGCAGCAGGTCCTTCCTGAGGAGATACAGACAAACTTTTTGCCTGACTGGTGAAACCCTGAATGTGGATGTGAGATGCTTGGGGTATCTGGTCTTTGTTGAGGAGTGATTTTCCTGCCAGGCTTCTCATGAATGACTTCCACAGTGAAATACATTAGAAAGTCCATTATCCATTATATACAGCTAATGCAAAATACGTGCAGCATTGAGCATCACAAAATAGCTTTTATGACCAGTTGATTTCATTTAACATGTTTATGTACTATTATACTGTAAAAAGGAATGCTTAGAAGTAGCAGGTTTCATTAAACAAAGATATGCATATAAATAGAGTTAATTCATCCATGTCTCAGGTTTTGGAATGACATGCATTCCTGCATCACATTTTGAGGGTCTGTTGCTAGAAATCTTCAGGAAAAAAGGCTAAATATACTTAAAAAATGAAGGAGAATAATCTTATATTAATAATTGATTAACATATTTAATAATTAATGCTCTAGTCAGAACAAACATGGTACATATATAGAGGGGAAGCACTATATAATTCATACACAAAGTAAGATTTGATCTGTAACTGTATTTTCAGTGCATAGTTGTTGAGTTAAAAATTAACTGTCCTGCTGCCAGGATATTAAAGTGACCAGAAGTTAAGGAGCAACCACTACTTACAGCCTTGCCATCTTCAGGTTTCAGAATTAACTTTGCTTCAGTGAAACACTTTATTCTTTGGAAGGACAGGTCAGGTTGTGATCACAGTCATGTTGGCCAGGGGAAGACACACCCAACCATGATCAAGAAGGTTCTGGAATCCCTTGCCGCCTGAATTGATACAAATACTACTGAATATTTCTGTTTTATTGCTGAATTGATGCTGTAAGAATTTAGTGTCTACTTTGTGATGGTTTGTGTTATGTTAGTGCCTTTAGGCTCCATGTTGCATGAGAATGTTTTTTTCCATCAAACCTGACACACTCACATATGGTGCTCATTAGTAGGTTGATTTTTATCGCCTTTACAAAATCAGGTGGAAAACGTTATCAACAAGTGATCTACCAGAAATATTTTATGAAGGTGCATTATTGAATCCTGTCCCAATCTCCCTTAAGAACTTTTATTTTACCTATGATTTTTGTCCATTCTTTAAATACATTCAAACCCACTTGCAAGTTCTGTTAATCATAACACTGTGTTTTCCAATTGTATAGAAATCTTTATTGTTTACAAAGATCCCTATTTTGTACCTATTTAATATTTAAACGGCATAGGTTGGTTTCAATAGCAGCAGTGTGTATTGGCTCACGGAATGCAGCATTCGTAAACTGGAATGAGCAGAGAATTGCTAAAGCTGAAAGTTGGGAGATTCTTACCAGTATGTTACCACAATATTAACTCAGTGTAGTAACATACCAGTATGAGGTACTTATGAATCTTTGAATTAATTGTAAAAGATGACATATGCATGGTAATAGTGAATGAAATGCAGCCTGCTCTGGGAGCTCTCATGTTTCCATTTCCCAATTAAGAGCCTATGTAGAAAAATAATTACAAGAAAATACTAAGATCTGTCATCTCTCTGAGGAAATATACTACAACTTGAGAAATCACTACACAATCATAACCCTATACTCAATCTATCCAACTGGTCACTTGTTAAAAATATAGCATTTATTTCCTGCAGGAGATAACTATGTCCTATCTTAATCAGATGGAATTTCCCCCCATTTTTCCACCCTACTTTGAAGCCCTCCATTTGTTTTGATGTAATTGTTAGTCATTTATACATGATGAAAGTTTCTCTGTCTTCAGGAGTCTTCTGTTACGGGCACAAAGGTAAACTGAGCTTCTACAAGATATTTCTGAAACCTGATTACTGGCTAGTTTGGGGTGATTTGGAATTAGCTTCACTTCCTGTGATGTAAGGACGTTGAGTGAAGAAGGACATATATTTTTAATCACGTTTTTTTCAAAAAAGCAACCCCTTTAACTTCTTTTATTTATACACAAATTAGTGTAGAGAAGTGAACAATGTACAGCAACTGTGCCATTGATGGCTGGGAGCTATGTGCCTGGCTGAAGGGTTAAAGGATGTAATTTAGGTTAAGCAAACAAATTTAAACGCTGTGGAAAGCCTGAGAAATTTTTCCAGCTTTATTTCATGTATCTTTGAGCACTGCAGAAGCAGCTGAGATGAACTATAGGTGAAGGCTTGGACAGAGATGGAACTGTCTGTAGTCCCCAGGAGCAAAACCCCTGAAGAGCAAATACATCATGTCATCTGCACAGGTTTTGGAGGCATGGTTGCCAGAGCAGTTCCTGAATGATCTGTACTTCCAGCCCCATTCTGATGCCTCCTGTAGGACATACCACTGCAGCCATAAGTCACCACCTTTTTGGATGTGAGTTCCCACAATTCCTGCCCTGCTGTGAGCAGGTGCCTCCTGACATCGCTGGGTCCTCCCACAGCTTTCACTGCAGTTTGCCCACAGTCCTGCTCAGCAGCCGCCACAACTGCTCTCCTCTATGGTCATGCTCCCCAAAAGCAAAATGTAATTTTCACAGAACAAAAGCACTCCAAGGGGAAAGAAAAACCTAAGCCCTGAAATGTTCCCACAGTTCTCCTTAGCACAGGGCATTCTCTCTGCCTCCTTTGCTACCTCACCCCTAGCAAGGAGCAATTTCTAGGGAAAAAGATCGTCAGAGAATTTCCCATAACCTCTGCATCTCTCCTTGGATTTCACTTTAGAGAAGGGAGAAATCTTAAGTGGTTGTAAATCTTCTAGTAATCAAATACAGCAATTAGAGATCTTTTACCTGTTAGACATTTTTCCTCCTACCTGATTTTTGTGATACCATATTGTCATGAGGAATCCTGACATCTAACTTGGCCCCTATGAATTCTGACTTTGTGTCATGAGAAGGTAATTATAGCTGTTTTTGTAGTGTCATGCCAGAAGTCTCTATTCATATTGTTTAGTAAGTTCTCAGTGTTTGGCTCTTGCAAACCAATAGCAGTATAAGCAAATGTGAAGATTTGCTTCTGTGTTATCTTTACTTATATCCATTCTTCAGATAGTAATTTCCCAGCTCGGTCTGATACCAGATTCTCATTTTTCAGGCCAGAGAGGTTTATTTGTGAGAATTTCAGCTTTCAAGTAGAGAAATCTGGCAGCTAAGGTAGCTGTAATGAGTGTTTTATCTTGGGCAAGAGGGTCTGAAATTCCACTCCGTTACACTTCTGCAGCTCTGCTGGAGCAATCAGATCACAAGTGTGTAACAGCCAAAATCTTGTGCAGTAAACCTTCATTTGATTCCTTCACGTTCCTTACTGCATCTTTAACTTCTTGTTTAGCTTATGAAGGGCCATGGTTTTGGAACAGCAAGGTTGAAAAAAGATTATCCTCACAGGGTTGTGGGCCTTTGCCAGCACTTTCAAACAACTGTGACCAAGTTTGTCTTTGCCACAAAACACCAAAGAAGAAATTCTGTCATTCCCAAACACTCCCATAAATGTAAGGATATTGTCTACACTATGGGACAACTTCCCGGGTCATCTCTCTGACACCTCATTCAAATGTTAAGGTGACGCAGTGAAGGCACTAAAATGTTTTGTTTCATTGCTACCTTAACAGCGTTCCTTAGTCCAAGTCTTCAAAGTTATGCTGCGGGATTCCAGGTGCATTTATATAATAAACATACAAAACCAGTGGCAAGGTCTAATACTGTTAAAATAGCATATGCATTTTCAAGAGTCTAATTACAGCTATTACAGCTTTGGGTGATTTGCATCATTTTCAGAATTTAAAGGCTGGATATTTTCCCATTCATAAAA